ACTGGGTGCACCACGGCTCACCTGCCGGAACCCAGTATTCGGGACAAGTAACGAGTGCCCCTTACCAATCGTATCCGGGATCGTATACCCCACCGATGGGACCACCGCAAGTGATGATGGGACCGGCAAGAATGTTGATGCCGCCACCGCAACAGACTACACCGAGCCGATTTATGGGACACGGAGGATTTAGCGGAATGATAGCCCCAGTACAGTCACTAAAGGTCATCTCCGATATTGCCACCCTTTCCAGAAACAGGAGGCTTGTCATTGTCGGATATCGGAGCACCGCGTGTGAGAACACCGCAGCAACTGGGGGCGCAACGACCCCATCGGAACTCGCTACAAAAAGGGGGGAGGCGAGGAGGAAATCGGTTTGACTCACCACGTCCGCGAGGCATATTGCCGTCGCTGGGCCCAAACTTGGAGCAGGTGGGACCAGATGGTCTATGGGCAACGCCCCCGGGTGAACTAACCGTACACGATTATTCACCGAAACTTCCGCTGGACATGAGAGAGGATGACGCGCGATTGAACGTGATTGCGGGCAACGGAGAAAGATTGACAGCGGCTGATACAGAGGCCATCCAGGATTTCAACCGAATGTGTCGGGATCTTTATAGAATCCACATGCGAGTTGAGGATGAGCACGCATTCTATGGAAGATTAATCAGTCTGGACGCGATCATTGAAGCAGTCCATATCGCGATGAAGGAAAAAACCAAAATCATCGAAGTAAAACGTAAAGAGTTAGCGATCAGAATCGCCTCGATGAAACAGTACCATCCGGCTTTAACCAACAGAAAATGGCCGCCGATGATTGAGAAGATACAGATATTCCTTAAGACGATTCCTAAAGAAAGGAGACCTTCGACAAGCAGCGTGGCGGGGCCGTCACGGGCGTTAGTCGAAGCACCAGTAGATGAGATGTCGGACAGTGACCTTTTGGCAACAAAGAGAAAGATTGAAACAGAATTAACTGAACGAGCAGGAAGATCACGGGCCAGCTCAACCAAAGGATCAGCACGCGGACGTACCAGTTCGATTACAGAGCCGTCTAGCGGGACCGTAAAGAGTGGAAAAAAGGTAAGGTCACCGACGACAAGTCCAAAAGAAAGTGACAAGAAAGGACAGCGGACGAAAAAGGTCACGACGAGTAAAGCAGCGCTTCCAGTGGGTAGAAAAAGTGCGCCACCCACACCGTCGGACAGGGGAGATGCCCCACTTCGATTTCCGAAGTGCAGGACTTTCACAGTCAAATATACTGGAACGGACCATAACGAACGAAAGGTCACGGCTCGGATAGTCGATAAAGGAACGAATAAAGAGATCGACTCGTACAACCCTCTGGCGGATAGGTCAGTCAAAACTGAGATTGGGGAAAGGTCAAAGGCAGAAGTCAACGAGGCGTTACAGTTTGTTCCCCCGGAAGAACGTCATAACCCGAGAGTTCTCATCCAGATGATGAAGCACGTGGTGTCCAAGGTTGTGGCTGAAGAAGATGCATGGATCCGCATCAAAGTAGGCACAAATGACGATCACCTGGCGTACACATACACAGTGGAAGGAAAGTTGTTGACAAAAGAAAGAATTCGCTCAAGGCCGACGGCAGACCCAGATTCGGCTAAAAGAACGTTAGATGGCTATGAGTCGACTTTGAAATACACTGATGCAACAAGCAGGAAGGTGACGCTAAAACTCCATTGTGGCCAGCAAGCGACGGAAACTATAACTGCAGTAATTGTCGACCCAATAACAGGAGATCCGATTCCATATGCGCCATGGGACGTATCAGAAGAGAGCGCCGAACATGCTAATCGGACAGCCCTGGATCAACTATGGGACTTGATACCCGAAAGTGAACGCCAAGATCCGGTAGTCCAAACGAACACACTGATTAGTGTGATGCGTCATCGAGCGGAGATAGACGAAGCCCATTTCCGACTCACAAGACGAATGGAAGACGGATCGTATAAAACGGTGTTTTATGACGCAAAGAACAACCCTCTGTGGGAGATCGTCACACACGGGCAGACGGTCGAAACACCGCACTTGGAAATTCATGGCCAACACCCGGCACAAGAAAGTAGAGCCGGAGAGATGGCAGAGGCCTCCGTAGCCGAAGTGGCAGGAACGGAGAGTACCAGGCGACCATCAAAACAGGACGATTCGGAAAAGGAGGAAGCTAACGACGATTCGGCAGAGGAACTGGCCGATGAAGATGACGAGATGGCCGAGGAAGATAATCAGCCTCCAAAAGTGGTCGTTAAAACGAGGAAAACGGCTAAACTGGATGAAGCCATGAATCGGGAAAAGGCTAAGAAAGGTGACTTCCTAAAGAAACAAAAGAAAGAAGAGGATAAGAAGAAAAAGAGCGGTCAAGAAAGCGAGAGCACAAGCACCAGGAGAAAAAGGGGGAGAGAAAAAAGGAAGACGAACTGTCGTCTCATGATGTCGAAATATTAAATGAATCAATTGGTGATGTGGAAGAAAGGTCATCGACACCTATAATCCCAAAGAAATTTGTTATCGAATCGGCTACATCAAAGTTAAAGGTCACCGAGACTGAGTCGTTAACACCCAAGGGAAAGGTCATAGCTGTGAAACAGATTGTTCCAGTCGTCATCTCGGCATCCACTACGAAGAGCGCAGGGAAAGGAACGCGCGAGAAAGCGAAACGGGAGACATCTCGCGAATCAGAAGCATCGGAAGTGAGCCTACCAAGTACTTCGACGGTTAGCACAAGGTCACACACGGACCCGAAAACGACTAGAGCAAGAACCACCGAGCCAAGAAGCCTTGCGGAAGCTTTGGAAAAAGGGAAAAAAGCAAAGTGCGAACCTGTTAAGACTAAAGGAAAGGGCAAGGCAATTATGAAAATCGATGCATTGGCGATGGCTAATTACATCGAACCGGATGGAGAGAGTGAACTTGATTACTCAGGAGATGAAGCAGAATTCGTAGATCCAGACAGCGATAATATGACTACGATTGATGAAATCATCGATGCGTTTGACGGAGCGGAGAAGAATTTTACACGGATACGCACGACATCAGTAACATCGAAATTCAGAACGGGCTTAAAGAAATATTTGAGAAAAGAAATGCACCGTAGCTTCACCAAGCAGAAGTTCGATGTGGTATTAGAATACGCTCGGAACGCGGGAAAACTTCTCCAGAAACATCCGAATTTCGCGTATAAGGCTAAATTATTTAGACCGTCAAGTTCGGATAAGGCGCTAACGACTCCAAACGAAGATACCTCAATGCGAGTAGAAAGGGCAATCGCGGGAATGACAAGCCCGTTGGGGTCAACGAGTCACCGGATCAGCCAATACATCAATGCTGTTTGGAATGATGGGAAAGGAATGATAAAGGAAATCGATACAGCCACCGAACGCGTGTTGCCGAGGATGATAAAACAGAACATCCTTGCTACAACAAACGCACATAAAGGATATCCGATCCGATACACGAGAGTAGGCCTGATACCGCCGGAAAAACAAGTCCATTGTAACATGTCCGACAGTCAGGAGATGGAAAAGGTGCCATCGAGCGGAGACCCGACAACTCCCATATTGAATCGGATCGCGCAGCTAACAGCTGAAGAAGAAGCCACTCGGGCTACAGCACAAGCACCGAAAGCGACGAAAAAGAAAGGGCCGATGGACGTGGAATCGGAAGAGAGCGACGATGACACCTCTGTCCCAACGCCTTTGGAACCGGCGACAGAAAAGTCTAAAGGTCAAGAGACATCCGGAACTGCGACGGAAGAAAGTCAACCGAAAGGTCATGGGACTTTAGAAAAACGGGAGAAAGAAAAGGTCATGCTCTTAATGGACAAGGCAGCGGCAGAAGCGGCCTCTGCGCGACAGGTGTACCAGAAATCTTTGTTCGCACCATTGAAGGAGGTTTTTGAGAAAGAGCGATCGAAGTCGGCAGGTGAAGCGGGAGGTCACGAGACTTTGCCACAGAAAGAGAAAACCGACGTACCGAAATCTGCTCAGTCATCATCTGGCTCGTTGGCAAAACTGAGGATTGATGAAACGGAGACAACTGACCCAACGCACTCGGCATTATCCCCCCAGAAAACGGAATCTAGCGGTACGAAGACAAAGGAGGCGACGGACTATACGCTAGGAGCACCGTTGGATGTGACCAACCGGACATGGAGCGAAGTCCAAGCGGCACTTCAGAGCACTAGCAAGGGTGAAATGCTGGGCCCAGACCTGAAAAGACAAGTCGCCGAAAATTCAAACGGAAGATCGTCACTTAGCATGACCGAGCGAGTCTTAAAAAGGGCATATAAGGAAGGAAGACTGGGATGTAAATATGACAAAGACAACAAGATTATTTATTACCTTCCGAAACAGGACCAGGACCGCACGCCCAGACTGAAAATGGAATTGGAGGCCTGGAAAATAGCCATTACAGATGTGGCTTTAGACGCCATTGGCGGTACCAATGGAGCGTCATGGGGCGACCTTTCGAACTTCATGGCTGTCCATTACGAACTGGGAGAATTGAATATCGAGAAAGACAAAGAATGGATCAAGAATGCCGTCGAAGCCTTGATTGCAGACGAAACGCTTCATATTAACAAAGATAGCCGAGTTGATTTTAAGCCGCTACGTCCGCCGGCGAAGGAGTCTGAGTGAACATGACAGATGTAATATGCAGCGAGTAATGAACCCTGCATATTACAGAATAGCATAAAATAGTTCAAAATGAAAGAGAAAAGTGTTACAGAAACGAGAGAGCGAAAAGGTCAACCTGAATTAGACTAATAGAAAAGGTCACAGTAGTCAGAAAACGCTAATAACGTGAGAAAGGTCACCACGTTACAGTGATAGAAAGGCAGCAGGAGCTAGGAAAGTCTCAGCTCAGTAACGGAATAGCCTAAAATAGGCGTAAAATGATAGAAAAGTCGCGTTAATGGATAAGAAAGGAAAAGATTATTGTGGAGAAATAACTATGATGGAATTGTTTTTATATTACAGAATTAACACGGAAAGATGGCACAGAAAGGTCAAGCCACTCAACGAAGTCAGGGAACACTTCCAATGGACGTCGATCAGTCTACGGGCTATAATCCAAGGTGTCCGGACTGCTTACGCAACAACAGAAAAGTCAATAAGAAGTTCCCGTGCTACACATGCGTTCATAAGTTGGGGGACCCACACATTGTTTCACTCGTGGGAATCATGGAAGCTAAACGGGGGAATATGGATGTTTTTCGGAACCTCATTAGCGCGAGGAATTATGGCAGCATCCCGGTAGAAGAGCGAATGCTACTCGAGGATCGTTATCGGGAAGCGATCCAGAATAACGAGAGTGGCTGGGATGATACTCTAGAACCATTGAAATGTTCACAAACGGACGCATACCGTAAGAAGTTCGAGGAGGAACAGGAGCGGATGCAGCGCCAGAAGTTGGAGGATGAACTCCGTGCGAAGATTAACGCGCAAAATCAAAGGGCAAGCGAACAGGCCGCCAGGGAGCCACTGCCCAGCACGTCGAGCTCAGCTGTACCTACAGCCAGCCTCAACGAAGATGAAGCGCAGCTTACACGACAGTCTCTCAATCTGCAGATCGATACGCTGACGAGTGACCCGGCTGCCATGCAGCAGGATTTATTTGACGCGCTGTTACGAGAGAAAATGAGATTACAAAAAGGTTTTGCTCCAGCGCCGTACATAAAGAAGGAAATTGAAAAACGTATGGAGGATCTGCGTAAATCCCGTCAAAATGAAAGTAATGTTCTGCAGGCGCTCAGAGGATTTAAACGGGACGAAGGTTTCATACGCCCTCGATCGCCTCCGCATAGAGAAAGGTCACGCGGACATTTACGGGAACATGAACGAACCTCTGAAAGACGAAGCGAAAGGTCACGTGAATACTCTCGTGAAAGGACACGGGATTACCGCAGTGAAAAGTCACGCGAACGTTCTCACGACCGAGATTACCGTGGCGGAAGAGGATGGGTGCGCCATGGCAATGAGATAACGGAAACGACCATTCAACGGAAAATCGATACGGCAAAGATTTTGGCAGCGACGAGAGGACGTGAAGAACAACGGCGTGCGGAGACTTACCGTACAGAGCCTGAAAAGAAAGGTCATCAGGTGCCGTTGGGAGTTGGATTCTGTAATCGCAATGTCAGAATGTCAACACCCGAAAGGTCATGGGACAAAAGGCGCGAGCAGACGCGAAATCGAACACCGGACCCAAATGATAAGAGATGGCAAGAGAGAGCTGCATATTATGCGGGCTTTGAATCCGGTGCAAGCAAAAGGTCATCGAGTGCGGAACGGGAAGATTCACCCCCAAAGTATCAAAGGATGGAATCAACAGTCCACGTGGTGAACCCAATCGTTAGTGCCGTTCAAGAAGATGACCCGATGGAAGGGGCCAGCTCAGTTGTGGATTTGACGTCCCAGGACAATGTGACCCACCGACGGAACGTAATTTTGGACAATGACCTTCAACCGGCTATATCGGCGAGTAACGAACCGTCGCAGCCCGAGTCAGAAGGACGGCGTGAACAAGAAGGTCAACGTGAACCGGATGATCGTCGTGAAGCTGACCGACGAACGACTTCCAGATTTAACAACCGACACCCCGACATAATCGACATGGAATGTGATATGTCAGACACCGACGAACAAATGGCGGGAATTTGTCGATACATAGGGATTGAAGGTGATTCAGCGGAAGCGAATAAGATTCACACAATTCTGAATCAGCTGCGCCAATTTTTATTCGATTCGGGCTATGCAAAAGAGATTAAGAAGGGAGTGGAAGAAGGAAATTTCCATCGATTATACATTCCCCGCGATTCAGTAAGAGATTGTTATCTCCCTATTCGACGGAACGGGTTACATAGCCTACTGGATTTGAGTTTACTGGATGTACCACTGGATACGACTGACCCAGTCGGGATGACACAATTTTATTATAGGGACTATCCCTAACGACAAGAATATGTGGCTCAGTTCGTTTTACGTCATGTGAATCCAGCCTTCAAGTTGCTTGCAGCAAGGGCATCGATAGGACTACAAGTGGATCCTAAAGACTATGCCGCAAGAAGGATGGGGCAGAAGGTCTTCGCTGCGAGACTGGCACACTATAAAACACAGGTTTAGCTGGTGTCTAATACTATGAAGGACGATATCCCACTACTCTTCCGACCTCATGTGGCGAAATTGGAAGAACCCATGGAACATGTCGGAATAGCCCACACGGCTCGCAAGGCGTTGAAAAAGTGCAAGATACGAATGGAAAAGGGCAACCTTACACAGCGCCATGCCTCCCAGGTGGAAGAGAGGATCAATCGAATCAAAGACACCACGAGAAGCGACTACGTCGAACCAATGGACGGAGTTGAAACGTATATTGATGAATTCCTAGTGAAGAAAAGTGACCGGCGCCCAGAACGCGCTCCTAACCAGATAGGACGACGTGGCTTACGAAACCAGCAGCTTCGAGACAATCTCGCCGATGTACAACGTCGATTGGCAGATGACCCTGATAACCGAAGACTGCGGTTAGAAGAAAATGACGCACGCCATCGAGTTGAGGCGGTTAAGCGAAGTCGCCAAGGGAAAGGTCGCGGTCAGCGAGAGGTTGATTCGGAAAAGGTCATGGGAGTTGATTCAACGGAACCAGTTGACCGAACGTCAGACCAAAATCAACCGAAAAGCGCTAAAAAACGTCCGCCGAGAGACGGCGAGGACGATTCAAATGAGATGGAATAGTGTTGACCGTTAGGATCACACTATTAGAATGGCGTCTACGGCATCTGTCGGTACGTCACAGAAATGAAAAAAGGTGTTGTATAAGGGCGACGTGACATGTTAACACTAACTGTATTCGTGTATTTGTTGTTTGCAGCGTTTATAGCACAGAATCACAAAGGATAAAGAAATCATGTGGAGCATCTATTGGGGTTGAAATTGATTCGGTCTCTAAAGCCGGCCCCAAGGGAGTGGCTACGGCAGTTAGCCGGCCCTCCTCTTAAGCGATTCAGTGTTATAAATTCACAAGAAAAACTACGGTAATCAAGCCGGATCTCTTGAATACGAAAGTGGGCCACAAGCGGCGAAAAAGAGAAAGACAACAGGTGGAATGTTAATGGGGTAAACATAATGCGGCAGTCAGCCGGCCTCATTAGAGTTGCTAAGGTAAATTATGCCGGCCATCTCTCTAACCGATTCAGTGTCAGAACTTAACGAGAGAAACTACGGAAATTAAGCCGGATCTCTCGAGACGAAGACGGGCCACAAGCGGCGAACAAGAGTAAAAGATTGAATGTGGAAGCGTCATGGGGTAAATTCAATGCGGTAATTAGCCGGCCCCATCAGAGATGTTACGGTAAACTTTGCCGGCACTCTGGCCGCTCGAGGCATATTAAAGTTGGATGTGCGACGGTATCAGGGCGGGCTTATGATTCAGCCCTTCTCTCATTGGTTGGTTTTGGGTTTTTTCCTGTCTGGGCATTTGCATGCGCTTTGATGGCTCTATAAGGCAGCTGCGCTGCCTACAGAGACCAGTTGGTTTTTGGCTTGCGCGCAAGCGCGGTGTGTGTTCAGATTTCGGCATTAAAGCCTACATCCGGGTTCGTTTTGCTCCTCCGTCGATGGACGATGCGCGCTTAACCAGCGCCATCTGATATGGTAGCAGATCGTGGTTCCGATCGTGTGCTACACAGCGGGCTTGCCCCGCTCACGGGCCACCTCTGAGTTGTGGACCAGATCGCGTGATCGCGTCCTGTGCCACCCCCGGGTACGGAGCTCATCCCGCTCCCCCGGATTCCCCGTCAGTCGCCGGAGCTGTGCCGTCACTCCCGCAGAACGCGGAGGAAACTGCCTCTCCCAGAAGGGGATGGAGATATCGCCAAGCCAGAAGTGCAGCGATGGACGGACAAACCCACAGCCACACCGTACCGATGACGGATGCCGACGGTGGACGCAACCCGGACCAGCAGGAAACCTGCGGACCCTTCACCACCACCAACAGCCACGCCAACCCCGATCCCCACGGCCGGATCGACCACCATTACCACGCCGAGAAATTCACCCCACCAAAACCCTGCCCGCCTTACCTGGGACAGCGACCTTTCCCCGGCGGAGCAGTGGAATTGCCCCACCGGAGCAGCGTAATTTTGTGTTTGCAGGGTCATGGCCGTACCTGTGCCCCAAACCCTGCGCGATTTTCCCCAGACGGTGACCTTTCTCCAGACGGATAAAATGCGGAATCTACCGATTTCCGCATCCGACCCTGAATTCTGTCGCGACAGTGCGTTGACCTAGGCACTGGACCGCGTGAAGCCGAACCAGACCGACCGAACGAGCCAAACCGACCGAGAACCACTCCTAAACCGAACCTGATCCGAGCCGACCAAACCTGGACCGAGCCGGACCAAACCTGACTGAACCAGATCCCATACCGGACCACGTGAGCCGACCGAACTGGAACCGAGCCACCCGGTAGTACAGTCTATTAGACATAGTACAGGGACCGTACCGGTCCCTGTATCCACTGTTCTTTTACGGCGCATCACGCCATTTACCTGCACTTCGCAGGAGCTCAGTGTTAGACCGTACAGGGATATCAGGGCGGGCTTATGATTCAGCCCTTCTCTCATTGGTTGGTTTTGGGTTTTTTCCTGTCTGGGCATTTGCATGCGCTTTGATGGCTCTATAAGGCAGCTGCGCTGCCTACAGAGACCAGTTGGTTTTTGGCTTGCGCGCAAGCGCGGTGTGTGTTCAGATTTCGGCATTAAAGCCTACATCCGGGTTCGTTTTGCTCCTCCGTCGATGGACGATGCGCGCTTAACCAGCGCCATCTGATAACGGAAAGGTCAAAATTGGAAGGAGGCAAGCAACGAAATGCTTGACGGCCGCAGAAAAAAGGCTAAGTTCCTCCATGACCTTTGATGGAAGTTTGAAGAGAAGTCGAATGACCTTTGGGATCATTATCGCCCAAGAGAGTCACCGTATTAGAATTCAAGTCGCATGACCTTTTGGGACCATTAACCCATATGAGTCGCACATCTCAACGGATCATCTGAACAAAGGATGACCTTTACTAGGGAGGAAGCGAACTATGCTTGTCTACATGACGTCCCTCCATGACCTTTATTGGATCTCATTTTAAGTCGTACAATTGATACGCACCATATCCCAAAGATTGAAGCAGTATTACCTAAGTCGTACTTGATACGCACCCGATTCTCAAGCGGATTGTGATGAAAGTCGCACTATGGATGCGCAGAATTGCTCAAGCGAGCGGAATGGGCCAAGGTGTGGAAAACGGTGGACAGGACCTGTGACCTTTACGAGTCAGAAATGGAGGATCCTAGTCTACATTGATTAATTGCTTCTGTTGATCTGTTTAACTGTTGATCTGTTTTTGTATTAGAATTGATATGGAATAGTATTTTGATACAGATCTCTTTATTTCACATTGTGCATTTGGAATTGATGTGATAAAATGGAATAAGAGAATTTGATGTTTTTGAGCACGCACAGACACCGGCGACCGCCGGCGACAACAATAAAAATTCGTGGGGGCGGCCATAACTGATGCGGCCATGGATATTATCGTCGGAACAAACGCAGTGACGTTGAATGACCTTTTGAACTGCATGGCTGTCTGACTTTGAAATGTTCAAACTGAATATCGGAAAGGATGGGAAGTAAATCAGAAACTCTGTTGAATGTTTGATTAACGACGGAGCACTTGAACTGGCGTAAACGACAAAACGTGAAAGGTCACCGCGTTAGAATGAAGCAATTGACCTTAATGATTTAACGAAAAAGGTCACGAAAGGTCATCAGAAGCGAATATCATGGTTAAGTGTAAAGGTCACGTAACATGTTAACTTAAACTGCATTCGTGTAATTGTTGTTTTCAGCGTTTATAGCACAGAATCGCAAAGGATAAAGAAATCATGTGGAGCAGCGATTGGGGTTGAAATCAATTCGGTCTATTATGCCGGCCCCAAAGGAGTTGCTACGGCAGTCAGCCGGCTCTCCTCCTTAAGCGACTCAGTGTTACAAATTGGCAGGAGAAACTACGGTAATCAAGCCGGATCTCTTGAACACGAAAGGGGGCCACAAGCGGCGAAAAAGAGAAAGACAACAGGTGGAAATATTAATGGGGTTGAATTTGATTCGGTCCATTAGCCGGCCCCATCAGAGACGCTACGGTGTACTATGCCGGCCACTCTCTCCAAGCGATTCAGTGTCAAAACTTAACGAGAGAAATAACAGTAATCAAGCCGGATCTCTCGTACCGAAGATGGGCCACAAGCGGCGAACAAGAGTAAAAGATTTAATGTGGAAGCGTCATGGGGTAAATTTAATGCGGTAGTTAGCCGGCCCCATCAGAGATGCTACGGTAAACTCTGCCGGCACTCTGGCCGCTCGAGGCATGTTGAAGTTGGATGTGCGACGGAAAGGTCAAATCGAAATCTTTATCAGGAGGCAAGCAAAGAAGTGCTTGAAGGCCGCAGAAAATTGGCTAAGTTCCTCCATGACCTTTAATCGAAGTTTGAAGCGAAGTTGGATGACCTTTGGGATCATTACCGCCCAAGAGAGTCACCGTATTGGAATTTAAGTCGCATGACCTTTTGGGACCATTAACCCAAAACGAGTCGCACATCTCAACGGATCATCCCAACAAAGGATAACCTTTACCAGGGAGGAAGCGAACTACGCTTGTCTATATGACGTCCCTCCATGACCTTTATGGATCTCATTTTAAGTCGTACAATTGATACGCACTAATTCCAAAGATTGAAGCAGTATTCCTAAGTCGTACTTGATACGCACCTGATTCTCAAGCGGATTGTGATGAAAAGTCGCGATAAGGATGCGCGAAGTTGCTCAACAGAGCGGAATAGGGAAAAGTGCGGAAAACGGTGGACAGGACCTGTGACCTTTATGAGTCAGAAATGGAGGATCCTAGTCTACATTTGATTAAAAACTTCTGTTGATCTGTTTAATTGTTGATCTGTTTTTGTATTAGAATTTATATGGAATAGTATTTTGATACAGATCTCTTTATTTCACATTGTGCATTTGGAATTGATGTGATAAAATGGAATAAGAGAATTTGATGTTTTGAGCACGCACAGACACTGGCGACCGTCGTCTTTTCGTGGATTTGGGAGTGTGTCCAGCCTCAACGGAGCTCGGCATCCCCCCAGAGGCATGTGAGACGAGGCCTCAATAGCGTTCACGCCCGTGGCGCTAGGCGCTACGCCTTTGGATTACGTGTCTGTGTTGTGTCTCGCTTCTGATTGGCTTGAGTTGTGTTAGTGGGCGCGGCATAGCACGTGCCGCACACAGTCGAATTGGCTCTACGATTTACGATCGAGCTGCGCCGATCAGTATTGATTTTCTGTTGTCGGAACTTTCAATATTATTAAAAGTTAGCAATTAGCGGTGCGACGTCTTGTGTTTCCGCATAGCTCGCAATACATATCGCATTGCTCGCTCCACGGGATCTATTCCGTTTAGGTCGCCGTATCTGGATCACAGTTGGATCTAGCATTAGAACAGTATGTCGCAATACTGCATGCAGACCGGCCGGCATAATTATTATAAACACGGCAAACCACGCCTCTATCTGCGCAGTGCGCATTCATCGAATGGCATTCCGTACATTTTATTAGACCGGCCGTTTTAAATCACAGCGCTATTGCAGCCACCCAGGCCGGCGTTTGCACAGTTTATTTTTTGTGTTTAAATTAGAAGTTGCTACCGCTCTTGCCGTGATTGATCGCCAAATGGCCCAAATCACTGAAATCAGCAGTTTAACGAGTGTTTGAACAGTTAACGAATGCTGAATATATATTGCCAGAGCACCCACAACGATGTCTTCGTCCGAGAATTTCCAACCTCTTCGCCGTCCCCCTTCCACCCTTACTTCCGCATCCTATCCTCCCGTATTCTCCCATCCTCCACCGCCACCCGCCCGCGAGTATTCTTTACCCTCCGCTGCTGCCCCTGGCACTCGCCCCTCGATGATCAGCGCCGCCAGCACCCCGCTGCGACCGGGCGAGAATCGGCGCGGAGTGCGTTCCCCAACAGTCAACCGCAATTACAACCAGCCCCGCGGCCGTCTGACGTTCAACGCGGAGAGTGTGGAGAATGGGACGGACGAGCAGCGGAAAACGGCACAGGAGACCCCCGCCAGTGAGGCAGGGGCGGGGAGACTGCGCGAGACGCTGCGCAGAAATCAGAAATGGAAAGCCCGAGCGAGTGTTGGCCACGTTTCGCAGGCTGGATGGGGCGCCCGTTGGCGAGGCGAAGAGCGGCGACGAGAATCTGCGAGGGGGAAATGGTGAGGAGCTCTCAGACACTGTTTGCAGCGTTCTTTGCCTGTTTTGATTTTTGATTGCGTTTTGTCATTTTATTCTCTACGCAATGCAATTTCCGTCCCTTTTGAAGCTCTTAATTTTATTTTATAGTGCTAACTAGTATAAGGTCGTAACCGCCCTTAGGGCCAGCGGGCGGCGGTGTTACTGTAGCCGCTAGATGAAGTGAGACCAGTGTTAGATCCGGGCGCTGCCTTCCACTCGTCGGGCAATGAGCACGAGCCTTCCTCCCACCGGGCGGCGCACACTTTGCATTTGCATTTAGTACTGTACTGCCCCTGTCAGGGGCACCCCAAAAACCACAACAAATCAGTTTTATAACTAGAAAACTATCAGAGCTCTGACATTGTACTCTTAAAAAAATATCTTTCGTTGGAAAGCTTAAAAAATTCGCAAAGAACAGTAAAACATGTAAAATATTGGTAGTAGCAGAGTGAAATCAAAAACATTATTGCATGGAGCAAAGTATGTATATTGGGCTTGCATTTTTCCGTACACCAGACTCTGTGGTCTCGCTTCATCTAGCGGCTACAGTAAGTTTTGGATGTGTGAAATAGAGAAATTGAAATCATTGGTCTATTCTGTTGATGCTGTTTTTTAATTTAGACCGCTTAAGGGAAGTGACCTGACGGGGCGGCTGAACAAAATATCACCCGCTTTTTCGGTTGATTTTTCATGAATCACTTATCGCATTGCGAATAATCCAGACTCCTTCGATAGGCAATTTTAGTGACGATTTAAAGCAATAAGACGTGGTTCAGGAAAACAAACTGTAATTGATAAAAATCATGCCAAATGAAACTGTATAAATAATTATTATGTTCCAGCTCGCTGAAGTCTCTTGGCAGTTCTTTCCCGTACGTCAATATTCGAATATTTTTAACTGGTTCAGCAAGAAAATGGTCTCTTTTTCCAACAGAAAATGTTAGTCGGCACGGTGCTTGCGCCGGTAGAGCTATATAGTCAGCAAATTTGGAGACTTGATTAAAAGAAAACTTCCACCAAAAGGTCGTACCAAAAGTAGGTTTACCTATTTTGACTGTCTGCCATCTGAAGTAATACACAACTGATATATTTTTCGTTACATAAGCAATTATGTATATTACCCAGGAAAATTAGAATCAAATGTGTTGATTAGAAACTGGAGAAAGGAGAAACAGTATAGTTTGTACCACTTTTTCAGCTTTTACACTGACTTTTCAAAATTCCATGATTCTTGTCTAACTCGCCCCCCCCCTCGTGCAGTTTTCGGTCATAAAATCAAAGTGTTAACTGCAAATAGTGTGCGTAATATTTCTGTGGTGGCAGATCTTTTTGGGAAATTCAGCTGTTTCAGTAAAAATTTCATTCCTCAGTTTTTTTTTTGTTAAGCCTGCTAGCATCTATGAATTCAAGATTCTTTGCTCCGTGAAAAAACATTTTATGCGAAGCTATGCGCGCCTAAGGCACAAGTGGACTTTCCGTTATATCGACAGCAATATTTTTTCTTCATGAAATTTCGATTTTTTCACCGTCTGAAAGTTAGGCTGTTCTTTGGTTTTTGCACGCAGTCATTGATAGTTTCTATTTTCCCAGAAAACAGTACTTAACGCGAAGTGGCTAGCGAATTTTCAAAATAATTCCCAAAAATTATCATAGCTCATCTTGGAGAGCGTGTTTTTTACTACATAATGCAGTCATTGTAATGATCATATCCTTTTTCGTTAGCAAGTAAAAAAACGAAGTTGTACACCTGTTAAAGGGGGGGGGGGCACGTAAGGTGAGCAGAAAAATAATTGCTCGCGCCGCACTTATTGTGAGTGATGGCATATTTCTTCAATCACTACCGACATCAATGGTTTGCCTTGAAGTAATCGCAGTCAGATGCGATCAGAATCTACCAGTGCCTCATTCAGTTTTGTTGAGCTTGTTGACAAGGAACAGAAACAAAAGACGCCATAAGCGCAGATCTGATGTCTGATTGCAGTCTTTTGTTTTAGCGTCTGTGGCTGCAAGTGCAATTCTATGGCTGGCTGACTGTACTGCGTTGCTCCACATGTGCAAGTGCTTTTGTGTGCGGCAGCCAACACCTCTCGGTACCGGCACCGAAGCCAAGAAAGACGTGTACTTTTGCAAGCTAACAGTGAACAAAACGTAAAAAAACTTTGAATAGGCGCTGTAAATACATTCAGTTACCAAAAATTACAAATAAAATTGCAATAAATAGAGTACCGCAGTCTAAGCTTGTTATACGGACAGAATTTCTAATTAGGCCTTCGTTCGACAGATACTGCCAGAAATATCCAGGGGCAGAGTGCCCCAAGCACTTCCTTGGCACCCCTGATTTTTTATCTTTTTCTCTTGTTTATCAATCAAAATTCTGTCCGTATAATAAGCTTCTAATACTTTAATCTATAAAATGGCCGTTTCAGAATATTTTTTTTCGAATCGGTACTCTGTCAAAATCGACTACAAATTTTTCACTCTAAAAGCTATTTTTTCAGCAACAACACATGCGTTACTACGATTCATCTCATTTTAAAGTACAAAAATCACTTCTTTATGTGGCATATGCTACGATATTGTCTAAAAGGGTAACGCGCCGGCGGTATGCCCGTTTTCGCCAAAGGACCGAGTTGCTAGCCACTTCGCGTTAATGTACAGTACAACCTCTGAAGTGCAGTTTTTGAGGTATGAGTAATTTATTTTGTCTATTAATTGAGATCAGAGTAGAGAAGTGTACTTTATTTGGAAACGCTTTTATTGTCACAAAAAGTTTACAGGATGTTGGAAAACTGTCCTTGCATAATCCGTGGCAAAGTGCAAAAAACTGGTCGATGAATATTTTGGCAGTTCCTCCCCGTTTGATTGTTCTTAGACAAAGTTATATTTTATTTCTTTTCCTTAGTAAACGGTATTTATATCTGGATGGGCAATCAAAACTAAGGCATTGCGCTGGGAGAGGCAAAATAGGCAAACTTACTTTTGGTACGTCCTTTGCAGCTCGTTTTTCGCTATTTATATGAATATTTTTTGCTGCGCGACAGGCGTAAAACACAAAATGCCGGCTTAACTGAAAAATGTTGCCAATATACTGTCCTTACAGAAACCAGTTTGATTCAAATCAATTCCTAATGCACTGAAGGTAATTTATTTCTAAACGATCTGTTTGTGGATTTCATGAGAATTTGATGGGAGCGTTTCAATCTTCTCCTGTCCTGGATAAACATGGCCACTGGAAGCTGCCTTTTTGAACATGAAAAAACAGGGAACAACCCATTTGTCTAAAATAGGACTCAGACTTAGGGAAAGTCAGAATTAGGACTTTAGCGAGTTCGTCTAACCAGGGCACATGGGGGTCTTCCCCCTTCCAAAAAATCTCTTTTTTTGCAGAAAGGTAGCAGCCCTATGTAGGGAATTTAAAAAACATTTTCAGCGGTAGTGACCAAAGTAGGCGTGGTCAAGCGTAATTTAAAACCTTTAAATTAGCCAGTACTGCACTTATGCTAGTACATAGGTTTCTTCGCCATAGCCAAGTCACCAGCTCCCGCCTTCATTTCTGCAAGAAGACATAGGATCCTTCGGTATAAAAATATTCCATCAGCCAAGCATGAGTGATGATATCTCAGCTTTAACGAGCGTGACAGCGAGGCTTCGTGAGAGCGAAGCCTCACTCTCAGGACAAAATACGATGATTTAAGGTGCGCTTTACGCCGCGGGGCGATATTTAGGATGAGGGTTTTGCGTTTTTATTTCGTACGCACGGGAGGAGGATCCGTAGAGGTCACTACAGTGATTATTTAGGTTGAATCCCGTCTTGGAGGGATTCAAAAACCTTAATGTCATTTGGGGTCGCAGCAGCGGCATATAGATTCGCAGCGTAAATTACTCACGTCTTTAGGGTGTCAAGAACACAAAAGGTTACTAATGGCTAGATATGGCTCATTTCATACCACTGCAGAAAACCTAAAATCTTTTTTTGTTACTGTACTTCACGTAACAATAAGTATTTTGGTCGTATTCTTACTGTATTTTTACAGTGTTTTTTTACCATTCCTATCGTATTTAAAATTTTTTCATTATTTTAACTTTCATGTACTGCTGCGGTTTTGTTTAGTCTATTTAGGTATTTTTACTTATTCTGCAGCCTGCAGGCATTTTGACTTAGTTCAAGGCGTTTTTCTAATGTTATAATTATGAAAACCAAGAACACATTGGGAATGCAGGCGGAACACGGTGAACACGGGGACGCATCAAAGGAAACAACAGTCGTGTCTTAAACCTAGATAGTTGAAAACACCTCGCGAATACAGTAGGAATAAAGGCAGAATGCGGATGAAATACGTGGGAATGCAGCTGAAGGCCAAAGGTACTTATCATCGAGGCGTGATTAATATGCCTGCGTAGTGTACCTGTACTTTCCCGCTTACTACCTGTAATCTGCCTTTATTCCCAAAATATTCCCTAACTCGCTTTTCTAGCCTCCATGACTACTGTCGTGTAACAGCATCTTAGAGCATTCTCGCGTATCGGTCTGTGTTTAACACGTATTCCCTGCTGCTCCAGCTAAAACTCTAAAAATACGTTGTTAACACGGACAGTATGTAGGTAGAATACGTGGGAATACGGCAATCCAGCAAAGGAAAAAGTAGTCAGATGCAACTGCAAAAAAAGTGCAACGCGAATACAGACAGAATGCTTATGGGATGCATAGGAGTGCGTGCGGAGTACTTATGGGATACAGTGAACGAAAAAGCGGGCCGATGTTATAGAGCGGTACGAAATGGGCCTTAAGTGCTAAAGATCACCACTGTGACCTTTCTGGTTCGCCGCGTGAGGAACTCACGTCTTTGAGGGTGTCAAGAACCTTGAAGGTCACTAAAGGTCACCATTGTGACCTTTTGGGTTCGCCGCGTAAGGAACTCACGTCTTTGGGGGTGTCAAGAACCCAAAAGGTCACTAAAGGTCAACACTGTGACCTTTTGGGTTCGCCGCGTGAGGAACTCACGTCTTTGGGGGTGTCAAGAACCCAAAAGGTCACTAAAGGTCACCACTGTGACCTTTTAGGTTCGCCGCGTGAGGAACTCACGTCTTTTGAGGTGTCGAGTACCATAAAGGTCACATTAACGTTGGCTCTCCCCGTGAGGAACTTTGCACTTTGCATCACCTTAAAAGAAACGCGGGCTCGCTTCGCTTGCCCGCTTGATTATTTTTTGCGACTATTTTAATTTAAAGTGGATATTTAATGATTAAGTTTTTTATTTTTACGAAATTTTGCAAGGCAGTCGCTGTTTGTAGTCGATTCCACTACGGAGAAACGAAGACTGGATTCCAGCGGCGAAATGAGCCTTAATTTCTCCTTATCGCCTGGAAAAACCACCGGTTTAATTAAGTTGGAGAAGGAGATCACTCGTGTGACTTTCGAGCGCGCTTTATTGAAGGAAGAAGTCAGCTTGGAACGATCGCGGACGGAGGAGAAACTGCGCATGCACAAGCAAGACGAAGACGTGAGTTACATTATCTCCTTTTGCATGATTTATGTTATTACGATTTTGTTATTTACCAATAATTATTTTTTGTTGTGTTTATAGGCTTATTTTAAATTATTTTCCTTGAAAAAATTTAATTCTGATAAGTGTTTTGATTTGATGTTTTGTTTTTGTTTTGATTTTTTTGTTTTTGTAAATGTTTTGATTTTTTCGATCATTTTGTAAGACGCTTTTTTCCGGATTAAATAGGTATGTGGAACTGTGACAACGTTGTGAATTTTGGCGATAAATTAGTTCTTTTTTTCTGCACAGAAAATCAGTGTTGTGGTTCATGCAGCAAAATTGAAATGTGCGGTAATTGTCGGAAAATTGAAAATATGTATTTAGGAAAATAGTTCAGGAATTTAATTATATCTAAACGTAGGTATATTGTAAAGCGATTAGCGAGTAAACTGAACTTTGAATACTGCGATTTTTTTGCATATTTAAGCGATCTATTACGAGTATTGACTCCTTTTTCTTGGCAGGCTGCCATGGCCAAAGCCGGGGAAATGTGGTCGCAGGCGGAGAAGATTCTGCAGGAGAACGACCGGCTGCGCGAGAAGATGGACAAGGCGGAAACGGAGGGAATCGCCATGCGGAAGCAGTACGAAGAGCAGATTGCCCACATCAAAATGGAGCATATGACGCGCACGCAGCAGCTGGACCGAGATCTGCGCGAAGCGCGCAGTGAGAATCTGCTGCTCAACGAGCGCTTCAAGACGTAAGTGGACTTTTGTATCCGTCTTGATTTCATGAATGCTCCGCTGACTTGCTCAGTTTCCGCTCACTCGGCTCTTGGATACTTTCGTTTTTAATTACTGATTATCAGAAGTATTTGCCATGTTAGAATTTTTGCATAATTTGTTTTATTTAAAACGTAGTGCAATGGCAGTTTTAGTGAATTAGACGGAAATGGTGTATTTGTTTGGTTTTTGAACAGTCTTTTGTGCTTCACTGAACTACCAATAAATTAAAGGTTAAATCATTTTCTGAATTTACAGTTTACAACGCAGCAATTAGAACAGATACGAGTAATTTAATAGGTGGCTATACCACTTCTTTTTGCATTCAGTGTCACGCAACCATCGATAATAAGCAAATATGAAAAATAACTGACACGCAATATATTGTTTTAAGGTACGCGATACTTTTAAACGGATCAAAAAAACCATCGACCAGTCGTCGAGCCGCCGCGGTGATCCGTCCTTCATGGCGAAACTACGCGATCTGGAAGAGCGGGCCACACGCAGCCAGACCCTGGCCGATAACTTCGAGCAGATGTACAACCGGACATCCTCTTCGGAATCCCAATTAAAGACCACCTTGGAGGACCTCCAGCGCCGCTATGAAGCGGAGACGGTGCGGGCGCATGAACAGCTGCAGAAGCTGACGGAGGAGAATGAGGAACTGCGGACGGTCAAGGAGGAGCTGGAGGAGCGGCTGGGCCAGTGGACGCTGCGGATGCTGCGCGGGGAATACGATCCCACGCGGACGGAGGTCGTGGTGGTCGGGGAGAGTCCGTTGGAGGCGGCGCAGAAGGAGTTCTTGGCGGAGGCGGGGAAGGTGTTGGAGGAGAACAAACTGCTGCAGGAGAAACTCAACCAGGTGAAGATGGGCGGCGGATACAGCGGGGATGTGACGGTGAATGCCGAAGAGTTCCTGCGCGGTCCCGGGGAACAGCTGGAAGGTAAGTGTAACAAACGCCAAAAGGTCGTTTTTATGTTTTTTCTTTTAGCTCTTTTTGGGAGTCATTAAACAGGTTTTCTCTTCAAAAATCCGCTATTTTCTGATTATTATTCTTCGTTACAAAATGAAAGCAACGATAAATTTTTTCGCCGTGTTAGCGTAGTTGCGTTGCTTTTTTTCCCAACGATACGGCGAAGAATACGGAGTAGGGTTACCATGAGCAATGAAGTATCGTAGTGCAAGGGTTCCAAATGGCCGTAGGAGGCAGCAGGAGTTGGTGATCCAGATAAAGATTTACAAGTTACGAGATATAATTATAAATTTTACTAACAATTTGTAATATGTTTTAAACTATTCTTATGTTTTAGAATAGTGTTTGGTTTTTTATTACTTAATGTAGTCGATACGGACGGTGCAGTTATTAAGGTTGTCGTCGCCCCGTTTTTTATAATTGCTTGATGCGCTCAGTCCTTTTAGTACCGGGTCAAGTGTGCGTACTCAAATCCAGAATTTTTCAGAATTGAAGAAGCAGTTGGAGAAAGCGGAAAAGCAACGTAACCAGGACACGACTTTCTTCAAGAAGTCCATCCAGAGTTTCCGGCACGTGTGCCGCGACCTGCTGGGTTGGAACATCCGCTACGACGGCAACAAGATCGTCTTCCGCGTGGCCGACGCCCCGGCCAACGAGACCGTCGCCATCGAGCGGGAGGACGAGAACAAGCCGTGGGAACTGCGCAGCAACGACTACACCACGGCCAACCAGGTCTTCGTCAACGAGTTCCTCACCAGCCACCAGAGTCCCCCGGAATTCTTCGCCCGCATCATCCTCAAGATCCTCTCGGAGCGCACTCTTATTGTATGGATTCCCCCACTCAGTAAAGGCGTGGCTGTGATTTTCTTCTTATTTGATAGAGCCATTTCTGTAACATTTTGTTGTTTGTTTTTCATGAATTCTTTATCATGAATTTTGTTGTTTGTATGTCGTACTTTGCCGGGAATGGTGAGTTAAACATTCGTGTGAGCGTTTAGAACTAATGCCTGTGTTCTGAAATAAATGCTTCAGTAATGATAGAGGCCAGTTGCAATTATGTAACCGCTGCTCGCCGGATAACGGAGAAACACCGGAAAAGGCTATCAAAAAAATAAGATTCAGCAAAACAAATTACATCAGCTGATCTTCAGGTGAACCGGCTAGGGGCAGTCAGGGAACAGTGAAGCGAAATAAACAGCGAAGTGGAACTGAAAAAGTCCTTTTAACATGGTTTTCGGATAATTGATAGCCACAATGATTTGTGCTTCAATATAGTGGAATTATAAATTTCAAAAAATCAATGGAGAGCTAGCTAGCGCTGAAAAAATTGCAAAAGGCGCTCGCTGACGCCGTCCTTTCTTTAAACGCGAAATATCTCCTCGATTCCTAACACAGCCATTCTGCTCAGCTTGAAGACATCCACAAGCCTCAGATCAGTTTCAACCCACGATCTGGCTGTTCCATCGACGTGGAATCCGCTAAACCTAAGAACAAACAATACTTACTGTTTCATGTGCTACGAGTTAATTAACCTATTTCTTCTCCGTCAGTAATCTATTTTATGAGGCGGTGAGTTCTGCATCTTAATCTTTTTTAATTTATATTTATTCGAGGCGCAAGCATGGGGCTTAATTAGTGCGAAGTGTTTTTTTATGAAGCGCTTGTACGACATTTTCTGCTGTTGATTGACTGACTGCTATGACATAGTTTGTTATGAAAACGTTGGCGCAGGCAACATCCGGTTGCGATGATTCGAAAAGTCAAGTAATACGTATGAACTATAAGTAAAACTGTAAAAGACCAACATAATAGCATTTTTCAAGTATTCGCATTTTGCCCCAAACTCACGCGATGCTCCGATCTTTCCGAAGCTCTGCTGTTACAGACAAGAATCCCCATAGCGTGTTGCATACTTACCAAAAAATTCTGAACCAAAATCGCAATGAAACAGCGGCCAAATTAAAACCTCAAAGGCGAACCTTAAACCGTAATGTTACTGATCATGAAGTCGTAAAGGGAACCAAAAATTTCGGCTGCAAATAAGGCCTACACACTACGCGGCTGCCTACGCTACTTCCGTACCCGGGCTTTTTAGCTCAAACAGAGCAGAAGATATATCTGCCAGGACCTCTCGCAATTTAAGTAATACAGGAAAGGTTTGCTTAGCCGTTCATTTTGAGTACACCAAATCTAATAAATTTCAAACAACTTACAGTGAGAGAAATGCCCGAATGCTCTCCCATTCATGCGGATAGACGAGTGACCGCACCCAACGAGCATGAATATTCGTAACCTTAACATAAACTTTGTCCGCGACAGGTGGAAAATTACTGTCCAAAGCCCACATGAATTTGCTGGTCATGCTCTCCCAATCTTGGCAGCCATCCAAAACCAGTTTTGGGATAGTGACGTGCAGTTTATCAATCTCGCCCCGGTACTCGGGGGTTAGAGGTTTCATCCACGTAACCTCATGGGCTGGCAGCCGTATAAGTCTGACTATACTTATAGGTGAATCAAAAAATATTTGATATAAAGCTAGACTAAAAATATTGCTCAGTTTCCAGTTGTGCAGCACGATACGCTGGCTGCTGTTGTGATAACAATATAAAAATACTGTCGCACCATAATTCCCGTAAAAGTTTACTTCCTCAGGGTCTGAAGACCTACAATACCCACATATGCCACCGGCATCAGCTAAGGTGAAATCTTTGAAAATTAATGCAGGCAGCTTGATTTGCATGGCTGACAACAAATCCAATAAGTAGTACTTGTTCGCGAAAGGTTGCAGAATAGCCAAGCTCTTGGTGGTTGAGCTGATGGTACGGCTCAGCAGAACTGCTCCTCTAAAGCAGTTGAAGTTGACGGATTGTGTGTTGTTAGTACATGTTCCCAAACTGATGCTGATGTGTTCGGCTGCGCGACGACTGCTCAGGAGCTCCTGCCATAAAGCGCACACTCTGAAAACAGCGAAGCCAGATATCAACAAAACGGGAGCTGAATGATTTACGAGTAAACTTCCGAGCTCTTCGTATTTTTTGGGCATTTTTTATGAATCACAATAATAATAAGCTCTGTGTTGGAACTACTGCCAGGCTGCAGTGGAACGCACGTTAAAAATATTTACGAGTAAGTACTAATGATGTACTTGTACTATTTTCCCGTGCTAACTGCTCAAGATCATGAAATGGCTGAAAATCGCCCTTTTACCAATAAAAATACAGATTTCAGTATTGTACTTAGAGGCGGCCACCAGACTTGCAAAGAACAAAAGCTGTATGAAGTCATTGTTTGATTTGTTTCAAAACTTGTACCTTGAAAAGTGGACAAGTTTCATGAACTACGTAGGTAGTAGTAGTATGTCTTCAAAACTAGCTGGTACAGGAATCGACACCTCCCGCAGTTTGCGCTGGGCCTTATTTGCCCTCTTAAAATTGTTACCAGCAGAACCACCGTGGTAAAAATGATATGTGCTGTGCAGTGATGCATAATAAGGTTATTGATAAATCATTATCATTCTTGTCTTGGGACTTATGGGACACTTGGGGCTAAACCCACTTGGGGTTACTGACCTACAGTAATCTGCCCAGAGCGTACTGCGTATGTCACTGTGCGTACGTACGCACCTTGGCTCTAAAGCAGTAAGAGTAAGTACAATAATTTTCTTTACCTTTTCATTTTTGCGCATGAATGCAGTTCCAGAAAAGAAAAGATTTCGCTCATGAGGATAGGGGAAGATTACCAATAGAGACACATTTCTTCAGCTGGTCAGTCCGTGCATCTACAAGCAGAGAAAGATATTAAGACTTTCATACTGCATCAGTTTAATCTGTTAATGAACACTGAAGCTCAATAGAAAGCCGCTCGCTCGATTACTTATTGACTCGCGATGTTTTATTATTTTACTGCAAGCGGTATATTAACAACGAATTCTCTACTGTGGTATATTCCCCAGCAAAATCGGGAGTCCCGACATTCCAAACCTGATTCGCAGGGAAGCTCTGGACTTTCGCTAAGGTCAGTCTGAAAGAACGGTGGCAAACCATCCCGGGTGGCCAGATGGGTCAGCAGCATTTCCGACATTGCTTTGGATATCCACTGCGCTGTTTGTGCGTCCGCTGACAGACTGACGGCAATAAACATACATCCGTCTTGCTGGATTCTAAGATGGAATCGGCAGCAATCCGATAAGGTGACCAACCGTACATCGCGCTTCATCGTGTCGCGAAAATGTTTGATGATCCGCGATCTGTCGGAAGCGTCGTTAAAAATGTGTTGCGTTTTGTCAAACGGAACGAAAAACTTTCTGAACATTAGTCCATCGACTCGGCACAGCAGCGGCGGATCGGTGACCGGCAGCTGGACGGCAACTTGGCATTTATCCACTAATTCCGTGCGGGCCTTGTGAGACGCGCTTTTCTTCGTCTTGACGCAAAATATTCGGCAAGATCTGCACGCAGTGACTATTCCTACGATAACAGCTGGCCGAAAACGAAATGGCCCGTCGTCTTCGTCGCGGAGAGCCGCAAATACCCGCTTGCCGATAAGATACACATGCCGGTGGATGTCCTCAATGAACGGTAAGGGCCACACGCGGGCCGCGTGGATCCAGCCAGGTTTGACTTTTGTGGACCTGAAGTGAATGTACGCGTAGTCTACGGAGATATTCTGTATGTTTCCCAGCGAATAAACGTTGTCATCATTGCGAACGACGACAGTGTTCTCGTAGCTCATTTGCTGCTCATCAAATAAGAGCCGCTCATATGGAGGCAGTGACGCTGAAATCATTTTGGCACGAGTCCTGGACCTTTGAGAAAACAAGAGATACGATGTATTCATTTACAACACATATGAATTACGCTTTCTTGTTGTGGGCTTTTCACGGCCTAATTGGGCAGAATAGAGAGAGAGCTATACGTATAGGTTTTTGTTGTGTTTGAAGTATACTATACTATACGCTCTTATTTCCTGCTGAACTGCATTTTAATAATGTGCAAATCCCGTGGAGATACAAGTGCACGCAGCCAATACCCGTGTTTTCCCGTGCACACAGCATCGACCTCAATTTTAACAGTGCGCCATAGTAAAATTTCAGCGAAAGGACATAATTTGGCGACACAGGGCCAATAAGACGACGTTTTATAAACTACATAGTACCCTATAAAATGCTTCAGATACTCATAATTATTTTGGTTGTACACACGTTCCCAAAGAAACTTCAGCTTAAACGTTTGGGTTTGGACTAAACACAGTGCGGCCCGCCACACCACCACGTAAGTGATAGTGCTTGGTCACAGTCTACTCTGTAGGTGTAAGTACTGTAGTTATTTGGCCTCTGCGCTACGACAATATTATTACTTATCCTGTGCAACCTTTTTCAGTCTATTTATATGAGAATCCACTCTTCTCTCCGGACGGGATTGCATTTCTTGGCACTATTTTGAATACTTCTTCCAAAATTGTATTCAGGTTAGCTTGATCAAGTTGCAGAAAATTTGTTTCACGCCTTCTCAAGTGATTATACAAACTGCCAATTTGTGATGATACTAACAATGCACAGCCAAATTAAGGCACCTTTAATCTGTGTAGTTGACCGGCAACTTCTTAGCAGTACTCAGTCGCAACTGACTCAGCCGCAGTAATCAATACTGTTGCATTTCTTTATTTCGTTATATATTTTATATAATGCCATCTTCTAAAAAATAAAATCCTGTAATATTAACCGAAGACTGTGTTTACTATGATTTTTGCAAAAACACGTTCCAGAAAATGTGGAAGCTGCAGCGCTTAATTCGATTTGAATGCGGCTGCGTTTTACAGAGACCAACATGGGAGCCTAAAATTAGTACATTACGCTGTACGGTCCTTTCAGTACCTTGGTCAGAACCATTGCGAAAAACCCCAAGCGACCAAAATGCAAAGTAGGCCACCGCAGTTATGCGTTGACAAATCTCCGTAAATTAGTCAGTTTGTTTTGCTTTTTCAACATTTCTTAATAGTAAGTGACAATATTATTTAATTTACCAAAAACGCTGGCGGACTCTGACTTACATAGTGATTTCAACGACGATTGGCCTGCCAACTTACGAAACAGTAATCATCCACCTTCCGATTGGTTTCTTAATTTCCTAACATGAATTCAATCATCAACAAGTTTATATCCTTGCACATAATCGCTATCATCGATTTAGAATAGGAATCAAAATTCATGTTAATGACTAATAAGTCGTCTGTAAAGCATTCTCATGCAGTGAGATTAATATAATTATGGTAACAGAAACGGTAACTGCTGAACAGCGAAGCTACAGACGGACTGCCGACGTTCCTGAAAGTGAAGGATTTCTCTAGCAGGGAGAAAACTGCTTATTATTGACAACCGGACCTAACGGTTTCAATATTCCGGATATAGGCCACCATTCAGGCAACGGCGACAACCGTCGAGGCCTGGCTCCGCTACCTGTTTAAAAGTAAGCCAGATAGTGTGATACAAATGCCTCGCCGGAGTCGCCGCTGCCTGTCTCACAGCAATATTCGCCGTATACGATATTGTAACAGTGGCCTATATGGCTACAAATACTATCGCTACATCCCTCACGGTAGCGATGAGATATACCTGTCTCATCAAGACAACAAAACGAAAGACGTAGGAAAACAAAGCGTTAGGAATTAGTACAGTAAACAGTAGAACACAATGGTCCGGGATGATCCTTAACGTACGGCGTGGTGGTCCCTCACGTTGAACTACCACGAGAATCCATCCGGCGATCGGAAGGATCCTACAGTCAGGTTCCGCTGGGAATGTCCGGGATTGGGAAGGGGTCCCTCACGGTATCCGGAAATTTTCCGCGTTTATCCGGCGATGTGGGGGAGTAGTGGGAGTTTCACATAACGGCAGTGTGCCGGCGTTTGGGTGAATAATTTTATGCGGTTGTCTCATTAACTGCCGGTAGAACGGTGACTGACGAATACTTTGTATGATCGAAGCCATTGCTTTTAATTTAGACTTTAGAGGTGTTGATTTTAATTTACTTTTTGATAACTTTGATGGAAATTTAGCTTTTGACACTCCTTGTGTTAAGAAAGTCTGTTCTGTATGCGGAATTTCATCGCTTTCGGCAACTGCTTTTAATTTCGGCGATACCAATGCGGAGATTTCAGTTATTAATTTTTCGCACATTTTCAATTTTTGTGGAATCGTTATGTTTTTACTAGAAACAATCCGACAATTCGAACAATTATTATTTAAGCTTTTAACGACAGATGACTTGATGTAAGGTGTTCGCGGTCTGAGAAAATCAGATGTTTGCATATTTTCTCGTTGTTCAGTTAATATCAGTCTGCAACGAGATGCCGATTTATCCAAACGATTACTGTAAAAGTTAATTTCTTCAGTATCGTAGAATTTAGGGGGTACATAGGCATGTCCATAAGGCCCTCCTTTATTATAAGATCTCAACCGTTTTCCTTGTTCACTGTACCAAAAGGAATCTCCTCTTCGGCGTAACATACATTTTATAAAGTTGTCGTACTGTGACTGCACTTTG